TTACTCTCCTCAGCAGTTCATCACTTACAAAGTCTGCCTTCCATATATGGTACCACACAACTAATCTATGTTTTCTGGCCCTTTACAACAATAATCACCTTTTCTTCAGTATCATATAATATGTAAAAATTGACTGGTTTTTAAAATAGATTCTAGGTGAAGGAAACAGAAATGAAAGCTCTCAGTTTTGTGACATTCACCAAAAATGAAATCTGATATTTGTCAATACTGTAGAACTGTATGGCAAAGTCTATTGAAGTCAATAGGGAATATTTTCTGGACTTTTACTGAAATGATCAGAAAGTTTCATATGCACTTATTTTTATTTGTATGTATGTACTGAAAAGATAATTATAATAGTATTCTTTTTATATACACATCTTAAGATTTATTAGTCAGGATGGGTTAATTGCTATAGTTCTAAAATCTTAGTGGTATCTGTAACACTAAATGAGTTTTGTTGTTGTTTATTTTTCCTATTTGCATGTTTTGCAAGTAAGGTTGATAGCAAGACTTTGCTCCAAACAGTCTTTCAGGGACCCAGGCTCCTTGCAATTAGTGGCTTTGCCATTCTTTAAGGCCTTACGAGGATCCTCTGTGTTTAGCTGACATTAAGGAAAATAGAAGGGAGGATTGCTATGAGCCCAGCTTAACGGTGGTGTACATCACTTCTGCCCACAGTCTATTGGGCAGAACTTATCAGATGGCTGCACCTAACTCCAAGGGGTTTGGGAAATACAGTTTGTCTGGGTGCCCAAGAGGAAAAGAGTACAGGTAGCCAGTCTCTACTACATAAGATTAACCCAACAGTATCTCTAAGAAAAAGGTTGGTGACCAAACAAAGGTAATAAGCCTATTCCACACTCGGCTACATTGAGGCAGCAACCAAAACTACATTGTTTATTAAAAATTCTCCAGAGATGTTTTATGAAACAAAATCTGATCTGCATAACAAGAGCTGCACAAAATAATGCAGCAAGAATTCCAAGGAACGTTTCATGTTATTAACCACAGTGTGTTGAGTCAACTTAGTTTCATTAATTTCTAAGCCCCAGGGAGGTTGGTGTGGGCAGTCATTCAATCTGTCTACATCTCCTTTAAATGCCCTGGCACAGGTCCTGTCATGACCCACCACTCTAAGTTCTGTCACCAACCCCACTGATACCTCATTTTTCTGAGCATCAACACCCCACAATTCCAGTTTGATAATGCAGTTAAACAGACCCCTGGTGACTGTGAGACTGAGGAATCTAAGTGGCCTATAAAGGGGTATAAAATCTTTCACAAGCTTCTAAGAACACTGGTCACAGATTACAGGTTTATCTATATACAGTTTTGCCCCAATTCATGAGAGGCAGATTTCATAAAGCAGTCAAATTAGAATGTAGTTATTTTCTTTACCATAAAATCCACCAGTTGAATTTCTTTAATTGGCAAATTTCTCCAGTGTAGTCAAAACATTAATGGACATTCAAACATTTAAGATGCTATTGAGAACTTGTATGGCTTCAATAATATCTCATGCATCATATAAGCATATTAATAGATAGATAGATATAAATTTAATCTGTTATATATTTTTTTCTTTATTTAGCTTTGAGAGAGCTTTACATTTCACTTGTCTTTGGGAGATAATTGATTTAATCATGAGAGTTATTGTGGTATTATTATATTTCTTGCCATATTTTCATAATTATTTTCAGGTAAAAAGTCTTCATACAGTTGGTACATTAGAAATCAATATTTTTTTTACTTGAAAACCAGATGTTTTAAGTAGAAGTGCTAAGCAAATTTTATGAATTTGACACCTTATTTACTCCCAAACTGAGCTATCTTAAATGAGCCAGAAAAATGAATAAAAACTTTGGGTTGTCTGTCAATTAACATGCAGATAAAAGAAAAATTATTGACTTTCAGCTTATTTCTACTGTCAATTAAATTATGTTAATTTTAATTTTTAAAAATGAAGATGAATGAATCTCTCTTTTATGAAGTATCAAACATTAACTCGAATTATTCCAAATGGAAAGGAACAGAAATTACTTAATAATTTGGTATATCTGATTGGAGACTTTGGCAAGGTATCTGAATTAGTAGGGATTGCATTTGGCTGCATGTAACAGAAGCCTGACAAACAACTGAAAGGTTGGGTTTTAAATTTTTTTTTTTTTTTTTTATGTAACAAATAGAGGCCTGGTGCACAAATTCGTGCAGGATTGTCTGCTTCCAGGAAAGGAAGAAGAGAAAACATAGCTTAAAAAAAATCCCTGGGGTGAGGGGTGAGGGCAGGGTGGGGCATCAAAGGGGGGCGGGCAGGGAAGGGGATATCTAATACTTTGAACAATAAAGATAATTCAGAAGCTTTTTCAGAAACCTCACTCAGCACTTTTGTTCATATCTCCTTATTGGCTACCTTCTGCTTATCTCTCCAGATCTACTCCTACCCTTGTGCATTCTGCTCTGACCCATGGGAGGCTGAGCTATATGGATGGTCTCAGTGGATCCTTTGCCCTCTGGCTTCCAGAGGGAGCTGGGGCACTCTTTGCTTGATGAAGCCAATGGAAGGCACTGGGAAGGGAGAGAAAAGTGAGGCTGAGCAATTTATTTCCTAAGCTCTTCCCCGATGGTTAATTAAAGATAGGCTACATTCCTCTCCCAAGGCCTCAGCCCCTGTCAGTTAACTGAGAATTGGTCAAGACTGGGTTGGACTGGGGCTGTGGAAAAGTGTTCATCCTCCAGACAGCATCTTCACACCACCTAGCTCTTTAATCTGAGAGGAGCTGAGGCACCCTGTCGCTTTGTGAAACCATCAACCTAACCTTAGGCTTTCACTTTGGGTTGTAGTCTGCCAGTCATTCTGAGAGCCTCAGATGTCTGCAGTCCCAGCCAAGTGATACTTTACAATCAGACAGCTAAAGCTTATGTTTCTCCCACCCTTTTATTATATCTGGGCATTCCTCTGATCTTCCTCTACCCCTTATTCATTTATATTTAAACTAGAGGCCAGGCACACGACATTTGTGCACTCGGGGGGAGTGGGGTCCCCTCAGCCTGGCCTACACCCTTTAGCAGTCTGGGAGCCCTCTGGGGATGGCCGACTGACGGCTTAGGCCCACTCCCCACAGTAGGACATCCTTAGAGCCTCTTCCACCACCTCTGCTGCACTCACCAGCTCTCAGCCTGGCTTGTGGCTGAGCAGCGCTTCCCCTGTGGGAGCACACTGACCACCAGGGGGCAGCTCCTGCATTGAGCATCTGCCCCCTGGTGGTCAGTGTGCATCATAGCGACTGGTTGTTCTGCCATTCATACTACCCTTTTGCATATTACCCTTTTATTATACAGTAGGTCCTCGGGTTACGTCGGAGATTCATTCCTACGGCGCAACGTAACACGATTTTCGCCCTAAGTCAGAACCCATAAGCACCTACGTCACTCACATGGAGCACATACACAGCAGTAATGAAGTGAAACAGTAAAAAAAAATTTTAAAGAAAGATAACAGTTCCTGATCTTTACTTGTGGTAAATAAATAATAAAAAACATAAAGCACGTATGTACATACGTCGAAATGACGGAACTTTTTTTTTTATAAATAAATGGGAGATGGCGACGTAACCATGAAATGACATATGTCGAGTCTGATGTAACCCAAGGACTGTCTGTATAAGATGGGAGCTCAAGGGAGCAGAACTATTCTGTTCTATTGGTTTATGACACGCAGTCATTATTGTCCATTGTGTGTGGCTCTGTCCTCTTTTTATTTGCTCTTATAATGTAATATACACCTCTAAAATCACCACTCAACCCCCAAACTAAAACATTGACAATAGCGTACATCTACCTCTGTGCTCCTCCCCTATTTTGTCCTCTTGCCCCCATAAGACAGTCACTATCCTAAAGTGTGTGTTTATCTTACATGTGTGCAATATGATAAACATTTTGTTATATATGTGAATATGTCTAAACAACTTACTTTGGTTGTTTTGTACTTCATAAAACAAGTATTATATGCTACTAGAGGCCCAATGCACAAAATTCGTGCAAGGGGCTCATCCCTCACAGCCCCTCGCAGCCCCTCGCAGCCTTGGCTGGCCCTTGCAGCCCCAGCTTCATATGGAAGGTCGTCCGAATGATCATTCTGCTGTTTGGTCTAATTAGCATATTAGCTCTTTATTATATAGGATAGGTAACTTCTGGAACCTGATTTTTTTTTTTTACACAACATTGTGTTTCTAAGATCCTTTCATGTTGTTACAGATATTTATAGCTCACTCATTATTATATTTTCTTTCATAATTGAGATTTTATTGTTTGTTTTTTGGATCAGTACACAGACATTTCAATTTGTATGCAATTCTTAACATACGTACCAAAAATGTAAAGTCATGTAGTTGTGATTCTTTTCTAAACAGTTATTCCAGTGACTTTCCAGCTTAAAAATTAGAGGCTAACTTTCCTTAATAGAGTATCAAGTACCAATATCTTAAAGTATTGATACACTGTTACATCAAAGTCCCACTAATTCACAATTTAATATCATATATACTACATAATCAAATTTTCAATCTTTCACAGCACACTGACAAAGTTACTAGGAAAACTGGACTGCCACACCAAAGATGTTACAGATGCACAGAATTCTGACAGGGAGAGCCAAGATCAAGGAGTGGTTTCCTTTAGGAAACAGTTCTACCAAAAACATGTGAATAGAAGTAATTTAAAATGTTCAAGACATAGCAAACTCATGACTAACTCCAAATTGCCATTTAGTATACTTTGTATTATAGGATATAAAAACTACCCCCATCTATGGAATGCTAAGCTGACACCCAAGACAATCAAAGTCTCCCATATTCAATATCCCACTATTTTCTGGTTGTACCAAAAAATAAACAACCAGCAAATGATTTCACCTTAAAAAAAAAAAGTATTTACACTTAAAAAATGGGATGAGGTGGAATTCCCTCTTTCTTAAAAATGTTTCTAGAGTTACTGAAAAACTTGCATTTACAAAATAGTTGATAAAAATATTCCTCTGGATTGTACAAGAAGGGAGACAGAGACCACTGATAAGACTTGGTATATGACATTAAACAGACTTGGCTTCTTTTTCTCCTGCTTCATCTGAGGTTGGACTCTCCTCGGTTTTAGTTTCTGCGTTTTCCGCAGGTAGATCTTCTTTAGGTTCCTGGTCAGCCTCTTCAGCTGCTTTCCCTTTGCTCCCCTTTTCCCTTTTGTTTGCACTTTTTTGTCTGCAGATTTATCCTTTCCTGCTGCCTTTTTGGGCTTCGTTTCCACTTTTGCAGGAGCAGGTTTGGCTGACAACCTGGCGGACCTCTTCTTGGGCTCCTCCATGGCAGCCCCCTCCGCAGAGCTGACCTTCCTCTTGGGCATTGTGCTGGCCGGCCAGTGCTGGGTGCCTGAGGGCCACGGCGCGCCTAGTGGCTTGGCAAACCTGGGTTGCCTCTATAGCTCACTCATTATTACTGCCGTATAGCATTTCATTAGTTTTTTATTCTTGTGTTTTTGGACATTTGAGTCTTTTCTAGTTTTTTGCTATTATAATAGCACTGCAATGAACTTTCTCACACATGTCTTCTGATGCATAGACAGGAGTTCTCTTGTCTCCATCCCTAGGAATAGAACTGAACAGCCATGGAGTATATAAATGTTCCTCCTTTACAAAATAATGCCACATTATTTACAAAGTGATTGTGCCTTTTTATATCCCCCCTGGTAATACATAAGAAATTCCCTTGATCCATATCCTTTCAACACTTGATATTGTCAGACTTGTTGATTTTTGCAGATTAAATGAATGAAAAATGAAATTTCTTTGACACCTTAATTTATGTTTCTGTGATTACTAGTGAGGTTAAGCATCTTCTTGGATGCACATTGGCTGTAGATATTTTCTAGTCTATGTGATGCCTATTCAGGTCGTTTGCTTATTTTTAATTAAAATTGAGTTGTTTATCCTCTTTTTTATCAGATTTTGGTAGGTTCGGCAGACAGAAAGTCAGTGAAGGCTTAGATTTGAACACAATTAATACCCTTCATTTAATGAGCATATGTAGAATTCTCCTGCGAACAGTTGGAGAATGGTCATTCTTCTCAAGCAGACGTGAAACATTTCCAAAAGCAGATGATCTGCTAGGTCATATGTTTTAACATATTTTAAAGAACAGTTGCCACAACAAAGTTAGAAGATAATAATACAAAGTAAGTTAAACAGAATATTGATGTACTTGAAAAACTACAAATATTTCAAAATGACTCATTAAAAATATAAAATTACCTCGCCTTTACGACCAGGATCCAGATGCCTGTTGTCCCCTCTAGCACATGAGCCCTACCCAGGAGCAGAGCAGGCTTCGAAGGGGCCTGACCCTCTTGTCTCATCCCTCTTTACTCTCCCATAAAATCTCATGTACCACCTTCTGTGCACTGCCCTACTCAGGACGTGGACTCTCAAAGCCATCACCTCCTGCAAACTTAGAAAGAGGGAAGTCTGTTATGATGTTTCTATAATTTATCTTTTTAGACCAAGTAGAAATAAATTTTCAGAAACATCATCTCACAAAAATCTCTGTGTGAGAATGGCAGTGTAGTATCAATCCCTGCCCCATCTTTTGCCTTGCATGCCGCAATGAGGGAGGTGAGACATTAACTATTAAAAAAAAAATCAGGCTGCTCTCCCTCCAATAAGTCCCAAAATGCACAGGGGTTTATATGGTATAGTTCGTTTGAAAGAGCTTTTCAGATATGAATACCAGTTGTCCCATTTTTAAGCTTGAGGAAATCAGCACAAATTCTACCCCTTTATCATATGGCCACACAGCACACATTTCATCGAGACTTTCTTTTTTTTTTTTTTTTTTTTCATCGAGACTTTCAATGGGAGTGGCCCTTTAATCATATCCCTCCTAAATGACAGAAAATCCACTTTTCCTGCTATGTAAACTTCATAGATTTTGCCCAACTTGCATTTCTCTTAAGGTAGGCACAATAGCACAGCAAAGAACCTAAAACAAAATGTAAAATAGAAGATCACAGCTGCACAAAGTGTGTTGGTGTCAACTACATGGGCGAGCTGTAAAGAAGAGGTAGTTTCCATGATGCTCGTGCAGCTTACACTCAGGGCCCTTCCCTTGCAGGGCCCCCGTTTTTAGGCCCTGGTGGGGACCCTAGCAATTTTGAATTTATGATTTTGTATTCTTCTTCTTAAAGAGAGACTTCCAAAATTGTATAAGCTTACGGACCCACAATACCTGGATCTGCCTCTGAACATGTACATTATAAAAATACATATAGCCCTAACAGGTTTGGCTCAGTGGATAGAGCGTCAGCCTGCGGACTCAAGGGTCCCAGGTTCGATTCCGGTCAAGGGCATGTACCTTGGTTGCGGGCACGTACCCAGTGGAGAGTGTGCAGGAGGCAGCTGATCGATGTTTCTCTCTCATCGATGTTTCTGACTCTCTGTCCCTCTCCCTTCCTCTCTGTAAAAAATCAGTGAAATATATATATATATAAAATAAAAAATACATATAAAAAACTTGAATCCATTTCATAATAGTGGTGCTGGGCCAACCTCTGGAAGAAACCCTGGGCCACCTTCAATCTGGGGTTGGAAGAGGCTAAGCTGACTTGGATTTTGAAATCAAAGTTAGTGATTTCAATTTGGAAAATATCCTGTTGTCTTAGCTTCTTCCTCCTTTCTTTCATTCTCACTAGCCTTTGCTGAACATTCAGTACAAAATATATACAACACTGAAATAACACAATTACTTTTAATAGACAATTTTTTTCTTGCAGACTTTTTGCAAGGTGCTAAAATAATATTTCATGAAGGTTAAATTCTAGGTTTATCTGCAAAACAGGTTAATGCTGGGCACATTTAGGCATTTAGGATGTTCTTAGAATCAGAATATGCTGTAGTTCTTCTTTATATATCTGTCTCAATATCCACTCCAATTCAGTTATAAACTCTGAGCCAAAAAGCCTAAGAGGTACCCTAATCAGATCACATATCAGCTTAGAGTAGTGATTTTAGTGATATGGACATCTGGCCACTTGGAAGTGAATAAAGGCCACCAACTCACTTGACAAAAGCCACTGAACATCTGTCAGTATGGAAATAGCTCTCCTAGTTGACCCTGAATCAGATTTTAATAGCCAACCTCACAAAGAAAGGCCATCTCTTCTCCTCCTATCAGCCAGGTAACTTGGTGCCATCCAGAAATACCCTATCAATATCCTGCCAATGATGCTCTGCTAAATATATTTTTTGGAAACAAGTGCGAATGGTGTTAATCCAGAGTCTTCTGTATTTCCCCCTTGCTATATGCCATATGCAAGGGTGATATTAAAAATACTGAGAAGCACACTGAAGCAGGGTCTTGGAGAGATTCTGTGTAGAGACCTTGTGAAGAAGGTCCCAGGGAAGGCAGGAAGGTGGGAGGCACACATGGAGTTCAGGGAAACCATTGTTTGACAAATAACATGGAGGTATTTCCATACTTTAACAAGCAGTCTGGCCATGTGAACCAGCATAACCAGCCTTGGACGTAGGCACAAAACTCCAAAGATAATTATCACTCCCCTAAATATACCACAACCAGCATAACCAGCCTTGGACGTAGACACAAAATTCCAAAGATAATTATCACTCCCCCAAACATACCACAGAGAGATGGGGGAAGATTTGAGCTATAGTCTGGCTCAAGTAGGGAAGTGTGTAGGGGAAAGTTTTAGCATCTTTGAGGCAGTGTTATTAATTGGTGTGGAAGCAACCTTTATTAAACTCTTTCTGTGTAAATGTACCTACAGTTTAGAAAACCCTATAATCACACACACACACACACACACACACACACACACACACACACATCAAGGAACACGGGGCACCTCTTCATTTGGGATCCAGTGCTCATTGCTGATAGGAAACCCAAGCCTCTGAACATCAGTTTATCTGACTAAACCTGTCAGGCCCCAGGAAACACACACACACTCAGAGAGGAAGGGAGAGGAAGAGGGAGATAGAAACATCAATGATGAGAGAGAATCATTGATCAGCTGCCTCCTGCACACCCCCTACTGGGGACCAAGCCTGCAACCCAGGCATGTGCCCTGAAAGGGAATCAAACCATGACCTTCTGGTTCATAGGTATCTGATGCTCAACCACTGAGCCACACCAGTTGGACCCCATGAAACACTTTTCTGTGTGGCCTTCCCTGTGTCCTCGAAACAAAAGGCAACTGTGTCCAATGCTGAGAAAATCTGTGGGTTGTGCCACTTTCAGCTTCAGAGACGGACACTGCTTTTGAGAGCAGGGAGTTTAAGTGGCTGAAGTGCTTAGGTAAGAGAAAAGACAAATTAATTAACTTGTCAAATCTTTCCTGTCAGCATGAATGCAATAGACTCTTACTCTATGAAGTATTGTTTCCCAGTAGTGCAAGTATCCATTTTTTTACTTCTCTTCCATGTTTCAGTTGAGTTCCAATTCCTGGTTCAAGTTAGTGCAGTATTTGCAATGGTCACACATGGTGGCTTAGGGACATTTTGCAGTATTAAATAATTCATATTATTCTTAAATATCTACAGATATTTCTACAGACATATTTATCTAGACATACATTTGGAAGTATGATGCTAGTTCTTTACATAGCAACCAGATGGACATTGAATACTCTAATTGCAATAGTTTTATCTTTATAAAATACTTAAGATTTAATTAAAATTTCAAAATACTAAATAAAAATTTTGGCATTATTTGAATAAATGGATTTAAAATTTTTATATTTATCCATTATAATTTTCATTCTGCTTTTTAAGTTTAATGCATCATTTTGAATATTTTAAAAGAGAAATAAATTTTAGAAAGTATACAAAAATATTAATTTTTATATTTAATTTATATGTTAAGAAAGTAAATTAACATTTTCATTCTGAATATAATTACATTCTATTTTTTTTAGTTATTTAGTTCATTAGTGTCAATAGAAGTTCTGTAAAAATGTTCATTATAACAGCATCTTTAGTAACTTGGCCAAAATAAAAGCAGGAAAGACAAATTTTATGGACTAAATTTTAGTTTTGTATGAATTATGTATATTTTTATTTTATTACTCATCCAGATATCACCAGCCTAACAATGGAACAACAGAAATAATGGACAATAAAAACTAGATTTAGTTGTCCTTGATATTTAATGTTTTATATGACGTTAAGTCATACAAAAACCAAGGCTTTTTATATACTTTTTCATTTCATCATTATGACAGGGTATTTGTCAAGGTAGAAAAGATCATATTTTACTTAATAGCTTCATTTATAGCTTTTAAATATGTGAACTTATGGTGTGTGAGCCTCGATTTGCACTCTTCCCTCAGGC